CATTCCATCTCCTGCTTTAAAAATCACCTGTGTAGGGCGCCTGGGTGGCTCAGTTGTTAAGGGTCTGCCTGCAGCTCTGGTCATGATCCCAGGGTCCTGGGATCGAGCCCGCGTCAGGTTCCCTACTTGACGGAAAGCCTGCTTCTCCCTCACCCACTCCTCCTGATTGTGTTCCCTCTCTTGCTGTCTCTCTCTCTCTCTCTGTCAAATAAATAAATAAAATCTTAAAAAAATAAAAACACCTGTGTGCCGAATACTCCCAAAGTTGTATCTTCACATTAGACCTCTCCCCAGAATTCTAGACACGCGCACAACTGCTCACTCACCATCTCCCTTTGTGTATTTCTTTAGTCAGCTGAGATGTAACATATCCAAAACTAAACTTCTACTCTTCCTCTCAAAATCTGCCCCTTCTGCAGTCTTCTCTGTGCCAGCAAATGGCCCCTCCATCCTTTCAGTGGCTCAGGCCAGAAACCCTGGAAACCCTTCACATCCCCTCTCTCTCACAGCCCATATTCAACTCCATCAGCAAGTCTTGTCATCCCCCCTTGTAAAAACTACCCCAAATCCCAAACTCTTCTCACTGCCTCCAATCCACTACTATCTATGGTCTGGATTACTTCAGTCACTTCGTAACTGGTCTCCCTGGCTCCCTGGCTGTCGGTTCTCCACACAGCCGCCAAAGTAATCTTGTTAAAACTTCATTCAGAGCCTGTCACTCTACGGCTTGGAAGCCCCCGATGGTGTGCTATCTCATTCAGAATCAAAACTGAAGCCTTTTCAATGGCCCTGTGTGATCTGCCCCCCACTACCACCCCTTTCTATTTCTCTGGCCTCATCTCAGCTTCTAACCTTCTCCACGCCCCTCCCCAGAGTCTCACCTCCCCAAACACGAAGATTCAAGTGAGGCCTTCTCTGTGCACCCTATTTAAGATTGCTGCCACCTACCCTACCTTTCACACTCATTCCCTTCTCTGCATTTTTCCCGATGTGGTTCTCAGCGTCTGCCATACTATGTACCATTTGCTCTGCACCCCCTTACCCACTAGAATATGAGCTCCATAATTACAGGGCTTTTGTCTCATTTCCTGCTTGTCCCTCTACCTAGAATAGAGCTAGACCCACACCCAGTAAGCACTCAATAAATATCGAATGAATGAATGGAATTAACGAAAGACCTACAACCCTCAAGAGGCAGCCTGGGCCTGGAAATTAACACCTGATTTCCAGTACTAGCTTCGAACCTAGCTATGCTCCTTCTGGGCCCTAGGCTGTCTGTCTCTAGATGGTGAACAACTCCCAGGTCCTTTGCTGCAGCGGCTTTCTAGAATGATGCTTGCCCACAGCCTCCCCTTCTGTCACTCAGCTAGGGTAGAAGGAAGGGTTGGGCAGAACCTGGTGGAGTGAGAGGAGAGAGCCCTCACTCATTCTTTCTCATCAAGGTTTGGGCAGAGTCTTTGCTGGCCTTGAAATGAAAGACAAGGTTCTAGTTTGGAGCGGGCAGGGTTCTGGGAGGCTTTGGGGAGGGAGGAATGGGTGAGTGGGTCCAGCCCCACCCTCTGGGTGGGGATGAGCAGAGGCCTGGCCACTAGGCCTGCTTCCTCCTCGTGGGGAGTCAGTCCCGGTGAGGGTCTCATGGGCGGTACTGCTAGAAAAAAAGGAGGGGGCCATGCGGATGAGGTAAGCACTGAGGAGAAGGCCTTCTGTGGGAGTCACCTGGGCCTGCACGCAGGTCCTCAGTAAGTCCTGGGAGGCCGCGCCTGGCGTAGGCCTCAGGCAGCCCCCCAGGGCCCTCACAGCCAGCGCCCACTCTAGAGCAGAGCAGCGGACCTTTTGGCTGAGAAGAGCCCCGTCCTCCTCCGTTTTCTGGGCCTTGCCACGGCTCCCTGCTTGTTTTCCCCGAAATAAATGGACTGAGCATATTGGGCCGGCAATAACCCCTTGAAATCAGTTGTTATCACAGTTAACAACCAGTTTGGCTTCAGTTCAGGCTGTTAACTATCAAACCACTAAGTGCCGGTAATGATTGATTCTCGGCCAGTTGCAGCTTGAGTGGGCTGTAAAACCCCATTAGTGAGGGCTCTGTGGAGGCAGCAAGGCGAAGATAAACAAGGTGGTGGGTGCTCTAGCCCAGCCTGGCCCCACCGCTCTGGGCTCTGCTCCCATGGGTCCCTGACCCGGGGTCCTGCCGGATGTCAGCCCCTTCCCAAAGGCCCAGGCCGCCCCGAGGATCCCCACCTCCCACCCCTCTCCACCGCCCCTCGCCACCGCCACCAGCGCCGCTGCCACCACCTGTCATCTCCCTCCTCTCTGTAAGGCGGGTCTGGCTCTCCAGACAGCGCACCTCTTCTCCGTCATGGCCACCACAGCACAGTTCCATCCACCACCCTGGAGACCTCGGGAGTCCCCAGCCCCGGGAGTTGCAGGAGTGGCTTTGGCCTAGCCAGTGACCAGCCTCCCTGCTCCGTGGCCAGGATCACAGGCAGAGAGAGCCTGACATTCCACCCCCACCCCAGACTCCCTCCGACCCTATGGCTCCCCCCAGGAATTGCTCTCAAACAAATGAAATGTGGGCAATTACTGGGCTGGGGGCTGGACAGGCGGCCGTGCAGATGAAAGCGTTTCCTGGACGGTCTCTTCATTTGCATGGCATCAGAAGCTGCTCAGAAGGTGTGACTTTTCCCACAGTGAGACCCGAGCTCCTTGCACAATAAAGCCAGGCTGCTCACCCAGAATTAATTAAAGGGGGAGGGGAGGAGGCCCTAAGAGCTGGAGGAGCTGGAACAGAGATGTCTAGAGCCCCCTCTCCACATCCCCGGTGTCTGTGTGCTGGGAGACACCTCCTCTATCCAGAGCCCTTCACCCCCACAGCAAGCCAGATGAGGTGGCATGGCCAGAGCCCAGGGTTTCCCCAGCCTCTCTCCTCCAAGGCTTCCCACTGAGCCATGGAGCTCCTGGTCCACCTGGATGGCCTGAGCCTGGAACTCGCGGCTTCAGCTCTGAGAAGCCCATGTGATTAGGAAGCCTTGGAGTGCCCCCCACTCCAAGGAAGTGCCAAGGAACAGGCCCAGAGGGAAGAGGTTTCTGGATTGGCCCAGTAGCTGGGCTGTGGGACCAGCCAGGGGCACTGTCAAAAGAAGGCAGCAAAAACGGCCAGAACAGGAGGCCTCAGTGAGGAAGCCCTCAGGAGACCTGCTACCTCTGGGCTTGGGCTGTCCCTCGATGTGGCATGATGTCAGGCTCTCCAGTCCACACCCAAACACACAGCTCTCTGCCCATCAGGCCAGCCCTTATGCCCACACCCTGACATGCTCTGTCATTGCCATAGCGTGGCCTGGGCTTCCTTCCTCCACAGCAGGACCGTCTGGGGTTGGTCTGACCCATGAGCTGCTGTTTCTCCTCTGGGCCAGAGTCTGTGTCCTGCTCTCTACCTGTGAACTTCCCTCCGGATCTCCTGCCCAGCCTCTCTTCCTCTGGGCCCCATCTCTCCAGGGCCGGCAGCATCTCCCAGGGTCATGGCCCCAGGACCCTTGCACAGCACCTGAGCTCAGCACCTTCTGCTCACAGCTGTCTAACCAGATCCTCAAAAGTCAGCCCTGCTCCATGCCACAGTTGTCAACACCGGGCTTGGCGGTCTCCCCTCCGGCATAACCCCACCTGGGACCCTGGCAGCTTCTCTTTTCTTTCATTCACTGATGCCTGATACTCAGAACCAGCTCTGGCATCTCCAGCCTGTCTCCCACGAAGATGTAGACACGTGGAGAGGCGCTTTTTAAAGATTCATTGAAGACACCTGGGCGCTGAGCCGGTTAAGCGTCTGGCTCAGCAGGGAGTCTGCTTCTCCCTCTGCCTGCTCTGCCACTCCCCCTGCTTGTGCTGTCTCTGACAAATAAATAAAATATTTTAAAAAATAAAAATAAAGATTCATTGAATCCATGAATGGAGCTCTGGTCCTAGGAGAACCCTCTTTTTTGCCCCAGAGGTGGCTAGGGGTTAGTGTTGGCAATGACTCCCGTTAGGAGCTATAAGGTCCTTGTCTGAGAGCTCCCAGGACCAGCTAAGAGCCTCTTCTTGCCCCTTTCCCTGCTTCTGTCCTATCAGGAGAGCCCCCAAGGCCAGGCACAGGTCCTAAGTCAGGCTGGAAGGAGGCTATGGGCAGAGCTGGGGTCAGAACTGGTTCTGGTCAGGACAGCCCCAGGGCAGCTGGGGAAGGGGGAGGGGCCCGATCCCCACAGGCCTTGCTCTCCAACACACATTTTTAATACTCAAGTTAAATAAATAAATTTCAGGGGCGCCTGGGTGGCTCAGTGGGTTAAAGCCTCTGCCTTCAGCTCAGGTCATGATCCCTGGGATCGAGTCCTGCATCAGGCTCTCTGCTCAGCGGGGAACCTGCTTCCTCCTCTCTCTCTCTCTGCTTGCCTCTCTGCCTACTTGTGATCCCTTTCTGTCAAATAAATTTTAAAAACCTTTAAAATAAGTAAATAAATAAATATTTCAGTCATTTAATAATAATACACATCCACCCCCCCACTGACACCCACCTTTAAAAAACCTGCTCTACGTCCCCACTCCCCACTCTTTCCCCACTGCCCCCACCTGAGGGGTGGGGTAAGCCTGGCCAGCTTACCCTGCAGGCGGGGCGGGGGGGTGTCTCAGGAGTACCTCTGCCGGCCTGGAAAAGCCCCCCTCCCACCCAGAAGGAACCCCCGCCAGAATCCCAGTCTAGGCCACTCCCAGCCTTCCCAAAAGCGAAGAAGACAGACACCACCGCCAAGTGGAATACAAAAATAGAGCCTCTCTTTTGTTTAAAAAACAAGACAAAACAAAACAACGACCAAAAAAAAAAAAAAAAAACCCAACAGCAAACAATTATGGACAGCTAGAACCCGTGGCTCCCCCAGCTCCTCCCCAGCCTTCAGCAGCGCAGACCTCGGCTCCCGGAGTTTCTCCGTGCGCCGCCGCGGCGAGCGGCTCGGCGCGGCGGGGAGGGCCGGCGGCGCCTACCGGGGCTCGGGGGCCCAAGTCCTCTGGCTGCCGCGCAGGCTGCGCGTGAAGGGCGGGTAGTTGAGGAACTCGAAGCGCAGACTCTGCTCCGTGGTGTGGTGGCCGCGGGGCAGCCGCTTCATGAAGTGCACCTCGCGCTGGTGCTGCCGCGTCTTGGAGCCCTTGCGGGGCCGGCCCTTGCGGGTGAAGGCCATGTACCAGCCTTCGTACTTGGCGTTCTGCAGGGCCGTGTAGTTGTTCTCCAGCACGATCTCGGTGAACACGCAGTCCTTGCCCTTGCCGTTGCTCTGCAGGTAGTGGGGCCAGACGCGCGGCGTTACCGGGCTCTGGCCGGAGACGCCCCCCCACCCCCACCCCAGCAGAGGCAGAGGGCAGGCGGCCCCAGACAGCAGGTGGGCACCCCAGCAGATGGCAGGGTGGGCACGAGTGACAGCCCCACCCCCGCCCGGGCACCCGCTCTCTAATCCCTCACAAGCCGCAGCCCACCCGGCAACTTCCTGTCCTCCCGGGCAGCAGTGACACATGGCTGTCTCCGGAGGGGCTGGGCCCCAACACAGAGGGCCAGAGAGGGGGCCCAGACCCTGCCTGCCCTGGCCTCCTGCCCACCAGTCTGGCCAAGCCGCTCGCACCCGTTTCCCCAGCTGCACCATCCCCCTGGGCCCCTCAAGACCCCCGGGGCCCCAGGACAGCCACTCCATGGGGGAGGGGAGGCCTGCGGGGAGAAGCAGAGCCCCGAGCCCCAGAAACCCAGGAAGCGGGGAGCTTGAGGCTGGAGAGGAGCCGTGACTAATGGGGCCATTTCAGAGCTCGGCCGAGGGGCTGGGCCTGCGGCTTACTGAACATTCCAAATGCTGGTACCATGTAATTGGACATAATAGCAAAGCAATTTGGCGATTTGTTAAAAAGATATATGGAATTTACCAACCCCCCCACCAGCCCCTTCCCTAGCCTTCCTTCTTCCTCCTTTGCCTTTATGGCTTCTCATCTCTCAAGCAGTTTCCTTCTCTCTCACCTCCCCCACCTTCCACCCAACCACTAGGTAACCCCAAGGTGGCCCTGGGTCTCTCTCCTTGGGACCCTACAGGAGCTCTGCCTGCCCAGCCCCCTCCCTAGGACCCAGCGACCCTCCGCTCCTTCTGGGGCCTCACCTTGGCAATGAGCTTCCCCTTTTTATTCATGCAGATGTAAAGACCAGTCTCAGCTCCTCGGACTCGAACCCGGCTCCCAAAGGTATCTGTCTCCACAATGAGCTTTGCTGTCAGGGAAGGTGGCGGGTGGTTATTGGAAGCGCCCTGACCCCACTGTACCACATTGTCACCCCAGCTGACCTTCAGACCTGTCACATCCCAGTAGCAACTGCTCTAAGAGCAGGTACCCAAGACATGGGCTCCAGCCCCAGCCCAGCTGCCACCATGCTAGGCGACATTGGGAAAGATCGACTCCCCTCCCCGGGCCTCAGGCCCCTCACGGATGTACACAGGGGGATGGACAAGAGCATGAAGCACAGACTGGGATCTCCCTCTGCCTGCTCTGCTGCTTCTGTGGAGGAATCTTAAAGCCATCAAACTGAACGGTCCCCTCTTTTAAAACCAGATAGTACTGACTTTTCAGGTCAAGGCTTCATGACTAGAGTTCTACTCTCATCAGAAGATCTCTGGGAATCCTTCAAACTCAGAGTAGTACACACACATGCCTCAAAGATCACCACAAACTTCTGGGGCGCAGCAGTGACATGAGCTCTGAGGCAAAACATAAAAGCACTATCTCCTGTTTCTGGCTCCTTAGGTTCTATCTCATGTCCTTGGCCAACCCCCCCCCAACCACCACCCCGTTCTGCTGAGATGACAGGGAGGCCGACCACTCTCCCTCCACACACAGCCTGCTACTTTCCCAGAACCTCAGACCCCAGCTGGGAGGCTTCTGCTCTTCTCCATGCTTCCCAGTCACCACTGTCCCCAGCCCCAGTGTCCAGAAATCAATGACTCAAATAGTCTTTTCTCTTTCAACCCCCATCACAGCTGGGCTTCTCACCCCAGTGACCAAACACTTGCTGTGGGTGAGGAGGGGAAAAAAATCAGACATGCTTGCCTCTCAGTCTGGAAAGCCATTGAGACAGGGAGCTGAATTCTGTGCCTTCTTCCCTGGTGCCCTCCCCTTAGACAGCCAACTTGCCACAGAAGTCCTGGTCCCTGTCTAGTCCCTGTGTAATTCCTCCCTTTGTGGCAGTCCTCAAGCGGGAATGAGGGCTGACTTAGCTGTTGGGGAGAAGCCAGGAGGGGCTGAGTCTTCTGTCCTCTCTACTGCTTTTCCCTCCTTGAGAAAGCAGTTCTGGGATTCCCAGAGCTGTCTCCCAGCCTGCACTAACAAGGCAGCACCTTCTTTGTCACTAAAACTAACGAGGAGGATGGGCACCAAGGTCAGCAAGGCAGCCCTCGTTGCCCGCCTGATACTACCCCCACCTCTTCACATAGGACAGAGCTGGGACCCAATGGCCAACTCTCTAGTCTGGCTTCAAGTCAGCCAGGGAAATGCAGCTGTCACGTCCCCTCCCACCCACCTCCTCTTGGACCCGGCCACGCTGCTCATCCCTCTCCTGCTCTGCCTTCCAGAGGCCCGAAGGGACACTGGCTGGAGAAGGGGCCCGAGGATCCCACTCGGAGGATTCTGGCCAAATGGGGCAGACAAGGATGGCACAATCCCTCTATTCCTTCCTGGGACCCATAAGGAAGCAACTGGGACCTCTCTGCTCTTCTCCCCCAGACTCATATTGTCCCAGCTGCACACCCTAAGCCTCTGCTCTCAGGCCCTCCGGCTCCCACTCCTGCCTGGCAGGCAGGAATCGGCGAACCTGGAAGGCTTCTTACACTTGTAAGGACAGAAGTGGGCATCAGACTTCTGAGGTCTGAAGATGAGCTTCTCCATGGCCAGCTTAGCCTCTTCTTCCCTCCCTAGAACCCAAGGGTGCTGGACCATTTGCTCCAGTGGAGCAAACCCAGGAGGAACTAAGCATTCGTTCCCTTTCCTTGGAAGCTGAGAAGGGCAGCAAGCAGCCAGTTTGGAGGGACAAAGGGACGGCAGGCTGGCCCTGCCAGCCCAGCGGGGGAGCTCGGCCACCGGGCAGGCCGCCCCCCCCCCACCACGGAGAGACCCCACTCCCCTTCCTGGATGGAGCTGGGGAGCTGGGGCCGCAGTTTACGGCGGCGGCTTTCCCGACCAGCCTTTTGGAAAGCTTAACATTTTCAAACCTATTCTTCCACCCCAGTGACAGATTTATCCCGGGAAAATTATGTTTCCTTCTCCAGCTTTGAAGGGAAGTCAGCTACGTCGATGCAGAAAAAATGCAGTGAGACATACTCGATCCCCCAAACTGGCTCGAGAAGAGGAGAAAGTATTCAGGAAATGTTAAAAAAGGTGAAAGTAAGAAGAGTTTTAATCGCTCTGCCAGACGCGGGGGTCTCTCCAGAGATTCATAGAGAACAATCTTGAACCTCTTTTTTAACATTTACAGACTTGCAACTCCTTTCAAACTCCACATCTGAAAAGGGCTCGTTCTTTTTCTGTTTTATATCATTCTTCATTTTTCTTCTTAGCTCTTAAAATGCCTCACCTTTTTATTACATTTTAATAGAGTCTTCCCCTCTCCTTTCATGCTTGTTTAACTTGGTCATTATTTAAAGGTTTTTAAACTCACAATAATCGCTCTCTAAAAACAACACCAGCCGTCCAGAGGGCTTGCTTTTCTCTTGGTACATCCAGGACTCTGGAAATTGGCCTTGTTTCAAGGCAGGAATATTGAATGTTTTAGAAATCAATCAGTCCTCAGCCTCTCTGCCCCGCAGTAGCTCCCCGGACTCACCGCCCCACGGGGAGTCAGGAGCCTGGCTCTGACCACTACCTGGGTTCCCAGGTCAGTGGGGTGGAGAGAGGGCCCCTTCCCAAGCCTAGTGCCTATGTGCAATTGGCCCTTCTGGTCAAAATATGTAAAGGTTCATGGCCCCCCCGTCCAAGCTGGAAGGGCTGGGGGGATTTTTCTCCCGTCTCTTTCCCAACTCTCCTTTTGTGGACCCTGGCGACATATCCTCTTTCAAGAGCTTCCCTTAAACCTGGGGCCCCTCCCGCAGAACCCTCTGTCTCCACCTGCAGCTGGGGAGGGGTGTGTGAATGGGGGAGGTAGAAAAGGAGATGCCTGGATTCATTCATCTGCTGGGTAGAGAAGGGGCACCTGTGGGCCAAGTACTCCCCAAGGTCCCTTCCCTAACCCTCTTTTCTCCAGCTGACCCCAAAGATGCTTTTTTTTTTTTTTGCCTTAACTCCTTCCCTTCTGAGCTGGGGAGCCCGGAGAGGCCTCTGGCCAGCACGGATGGGGCTGGCAGGTCCGGTCACAGCAGGCCAGCCAGGGGGAAGGAGGGCGTGTTCTACAAGCTACCTTCACCCTGCCCCGTGCAGCTCGCCTTACCAAAGGGGTCCCCGTCTTCTGCCATGGCGTTGATGCGCTTGTTGGCCAGGACCTGCACGTGCTTCCCGCTGGTGCGGCTGTAGAGCTGGTAGGTCCGGATGAGACGGCGGCTGAGCTGATCCGTCACCAGGCTCTGCTCCCTCACATGCTGTGTAAAATTAGGTGAGGACTGAACAGTTACCTTTAGGAAATTGAAAAATACACAACACGCCATTATAATGCTACTCTGCCCAGGGGCCTGAGAGGCCCCCATCACCTTGCACACGCCTCCACTGCCCCAAGCAGCCTACAAGGGCTGGGGGGGGGTCCCCCCCACAACAAGCCAGTTCGGGCCCCAGCACCCAACCCAGGAAAGTGGAGCAGACCCAGCCTAGCAAGGATGAGCTTGGACCGATCTGGACCTACCTGTTGGGAAACACCCTGGGACTCCCGGCCAGCTCCCATCAGGGAAGCAAGTTCTCTGCCCAGAGCCGCAGCCCCTCGCCCCCTCCCCACGCCTTCCTAGAAAAGCAGGGCGCTTCTAAGTAGGGAGGCTGCGCTGCCCAACCGCTGACATTTATAAAGACAAATTTACAGAGCAAATGTTGAGAGCGCAGAGAGCCTAGGCACCTGATCTTTCGGCCAGACCCGCCACAAGTCTCCCCAGAGAGCCACGGAGAGAGTCCCCGCGGCAGTCCCCGGGACTTGTGACAACGAACGCTCCCTGGCCCCAGCTCCCCACCCCTTCCTCGGCAGCCAGGTGTGGCTGCCCGTAGAGTTCCCCATCCACCCCAGCCCGGCTAGGAGGTGTGAGAGACAGCGCTGGAGCCCGAAACCTTGGGTTCGAGCCTCGCCGCACACTAGCTGTGTGACCTTAGGCAGGGCGCTCCCTCTCTGTTCCCCGGCTCCCTCCTAGGGCAGGTTCGGGGCTGGATTTCTAAGGTTCCTCCCAGCCCTGCCGCGCTGGCCGCAGGGTCGGTCCTTGGGCCCCTGCCCGACCTTGCCAACCCGCAGCCCCCGCCGGCCCGCCCGGGCCCCGCCGCCGCGCAATGCGCCTTACCTGGGCTTGGAGGCAGAGAACCAGCAAGTGCAACAGCCTGTGGGAGACAAAAGCGGGCGGGAGAGAGAGGGCGCGGGGTGAGCCGAGAGGGCGCGGCGGCGCGGCGGCGCGGGGCCGGCGGGGACGCGGGGGGCGGCGGCCGTACTCACAGGCAGCTCAGCGCCGAGCGGGGGCTGCCCATGGCGCGCGGCCCGGGGAGCACCGAGAACCCCGGCGGGATCACGCCGGCCCGCGGGCGGCCGCGAGGGACGAGCCGAGGGTGGCGGCGGCCGAGGAAGGCTGGAGCGCGGGAGGCGGGCGGCGGTCCGGACGCGGCTCCGCGGGTCCCGTGGAATGTCGAGCTCGCCGCGCCGCGCCGTGCTGAGTGGCTCTGCGCCGCTGCCGGAGCCGGTGGCCGCTGGCTGCTCAGGAGCCGGAGCAGGCGGGAGGGTAACGGGCCGGCAGGGTGGGTGGGTAGGTGGGAAGGGAGGGGGAGGGGTGGGGGCGGGGGGCGCCGCACCGGGAGCGAGGGGGGGGAGCGCGGGGCGGGCGGCCGGAGCCCGCAGCCCCCGGCTGGGAGCTGGGGCCCGGACGCAACCCGGGGCGGGGGCGGGGCGGGCCGGGGCGGGGCGGCCGGCGGGTCTGGGATTGGGGGTCTGGGCTAGGGGAGGGGTCTGGAGACCGCGGGAGGGGCCGGGGGCGGCCGGTGGGGGCGCCTCCCCCATCCCCCGGCTGACCCCCTCGCGCGCTCTAGGGGTCTGGACCCGCGGGGATGGGGGGGCTCTTCGGGCTTGGTCTTCCTGGACAGCGAGTGCGCCGGGGTCCAAAGGTGCCAGGTCTCCACCTCGGGGCCGGGTCCGCTTTTGCCTCAGGCGAGGCGGCGTGTCTCTGAGCTGCCTACTGTGTGCTTCGGCCCCGCGTGTCCCCTGGAAGTGGCCGCCGACGCGGGAGTGAATGGCTGTGCGCTCCGCAGTGCGTGCGTCTGCGAAGGGGACCCGACCCCCACCCCCACCTTTCTGACGAGTAACCCTTCCGGCGGGCGTCTCCAGTCTCACCGGTCTCCAAGAAGACCCAGAGAGCGAGAAATGTCCCCTCCCCCATTATCACCGTCACTGCTGCGTGCGTCCCGCAGATACTGACCTGAAGCTTGAGAGGAACCATGAGCCACCTATGTCGGAGAGTCTGGAGGTCCCTTGGTAGGACCCACAGTCGCTGCCGCCCTCCCAAAGCAGCAGGCGGAGGGGGCAAAAAGAACTACTGTCAGCTGCTTCTCCTGGAGAAGAGACTTAGTTGCAGGCCGCCTAGCCTTTCCCTCTCACAGTCTCATTATTTGTGCACTGAGGCATTTACACACCTACTGGACTAGACGTGCACTGGTGCTTTGTGTCAAGCATGGGGAGGTCGCCAAGGAAGTAGTGTCTAAGCCTCTCCCAGACCCTCAGTGCGTTCCCCCAGGGGCTCCCGGAAACCCTGAGCCATGGTGCTTCTTTGGGAGGGGCTTGGGTGGTTGACCCTTCATGAGGAGCAGGTAGAGCTCCTGATGCCCTACCCAGCTGCTTCCTCTGCCCATGACCTCCCCTGTCCCACTGGCACTCCATGTCCTTGAGGGTTGGACTGGAGGGGTTGGAGTGGTCCTGGGAAGCCATTAGGCCAGGGGCAGTAGGCAGGTCCTTGTCCAACAGTACAATCAAGTTCTATTACCTCCCCTTCCTCTGTGCCCCACTTGTCCCCATGCCCCACCTTTCTCCACTCCCGGCCATAAAGCTAACACTGAGCGGTGCATAGATGGGAAAACAGAGTCAGAGGACTTGTCTCAAGACCTCATCCCTCCTCAAAGGAGGAGACTCCCTGAGCCTACCTGTTCCTTCCTCCAGGAGTCTGTTCACTCTTCTGGCAAACACAGATCTCCAGGCAAGGACCATGTCTTTTAGATCAGAAGTTGTAGCTCATGGCACCAAGCTGGGCTGGGTTGTTCTGCAGCTGGCACTTGATGAATGAATCATGAAGAAACTGGCTGAGCATTTAGACCTCAGCCCATGAGTGGCTTCCCCAGGAAGACATGCCTTCAGATAATAATTATAAGCACTACTATTTATTTAGCACTTATATTTGCTAAAGGCTGAATTTGCACTGTCTCCTTTCAACCCCACTAAGCGGTGAGCCCATTAGAAGGGAGACAGGTGAGGTGCGCTCCAGTGCCCACAGCCCAAACCAGCCCGTTTTCTTACCGTCCTCTGTCTTAGAGGCCTACAGCCCACTCCCTGGGGCTCTACGCTCTTCACTGTACTGCTTCCAACAGGCAGAATGCTCACCATCTTAAACACATGTCTGCACATAGTAGGCCCCTGAAAATGTTTGTGTGCATCAGTGAATGAGTGAGTGGATAGACAGAGAGCAGAGGGTGGGAAGGGCCTTCTCCCCACCAGGGACTCAGCCCTCTGGAAACTGTCTGATGAGAACAGCATTGGGCAGGACCCAGGCTGGAGTCAGGGCAGTCTTAGAGTGCATAGTCTTGGAGCCACAACTAGAGTCACTCTGGGCACCAGCCCTTCCCTGGAGTGGGGATGGAGGCCAGAGAGTATCTGACTCAAAAATGTCCAGCCCTGGTTCTGGAGCTCCAAGAAGGTTCTGAAATCCCTACGCTGAACTTCAATGGTCTTAACCCACTCTGTGCCCTTCACCAGAAGAGACGGGCATCCTGGGACCTAAAAGCAAGAGGTCAAGGTTTTAGTACTACACTTTAACCTCTATCAAGGGGCCTTTCTATATAGGGCAGAATTCCTTTACGTTTGGAGAACTTCTCCCAAAATGAACTCTCATCAGTATGGGAGATTGTTCTCATCTCCCCAGAAGGCTATGTTTTGGGGTTGGGGTTTGGAGTGGGGGAGGAGATGGGGACATCCTCACAAAGGGCGCTGGGTCCTGCTTGGCCTGCCCCCTGAGTGACAGATGCAAATACGCCGTCGGGGCCCCAGCAGGCCACTCTCTCCCTCCCTCCCTTGCTCGCTTCCCGGCCAGCTCGCTTCTTCCTTTATCTTATCAAAGCCCCGTAATTACAATTGCTATTTTGTTTCCTCGAATCTGCAATCAGAGCTCCCCGGCCCTGATGAGGGAGCGCCTGTCAACCTGATCGCTGAGTGACAGCCTGGCCACCTTTCCCGGCCGCCCCCACACTCCGCAAACACAAACACACACACACACACACACACACACACACACACACACACACACACCCTCGCCTCCTGAAAACACAAACACACACTCCTCGCCAACACAAACAGCCCCTCTCCGCAAACACGCCCTCGCCGGGACCCAAACACACACCTTCAGCCTTTTTCCAAACGCATCCCTCGGCCCGGCCCACCCCGGGCCCCTCAAATCCACACCAGCCTGCGCGGGGCCGCCGGGACTGCCGCTCCTCAGCTGCGCGCCTCCTGCGCCCGGCGTTCAAAGCGCCGCGGACTCTCCACCGACTGTTCAAATGCAAATCGCCAAGACGACGTTAAGCACTTCGGGCCCCTGCCTAGGAGACGTCTTCCCTCGCCCCGCAAATACAGGCCTGCTCATCCTCCAGCGCTCTGCAAACCTCGGCGTGCGCCGTCATCCCTCAGTGCTCGGGGCCAAAGTGAATCGGCAGCGCTCCTACTGTGCGCTGAGCCGACAGAAGGAGCAACGAGGAGAGGCGGGGCGGAGAGGGAGAAAAAGCAATTTCCCGCTCTGTCTGCCCGGCGCCCTTTCGGGCCGGGAAAGCCCTGGAAGAAGCGGAAAATGTGGATTGGGCCCCCACTGCGGGCAGGACGGCGCTCGGCGCCTGCCTGGGTCCCGGGGAGAACCACCCAGGAAACAGGGCTTACAGGGAGCGCTCAGCCGCTTCGAAGGGGTAAATAGCCGAGCTGGGCCACGCACAGGGGTTAGACGGCTGGGTTGGGAAGGCTTCCCCCAGAGATGACTTTTTGCTGCACTCAGCCAGTCTCCCGCGCCCCCAACCAAGCACGTGCCGAGGACTCTGGAGGTTATAGGTGAGAGGAAGAAGAGAAGGGCTCTTACAAGAGCTCTTCTAGTGAATGAATGAATGAATGAATGAATGAATGAATCAACAATCAATCAATCAAAGAACGAATGCAGTCAGCCTCAGTGACTTAGTCCTTGCTTAGTCCTTGCCTAAACTTCGGCACTCCAGGCCACTCGCGGGCGAAACGCCCCCCTCGGGGGGGGGGGGGGGCGCGGCTTGGGGGGTCGCTCGGCCACTGGCAGTTTCAACCTCGCCCACCAGAGGGCGCCAGCTGCAATTCTCCCCTCTCTCGGGACCCCTGCCACAGGAAAGTGAATAGTCTTGAGCCTGGTTGGCCCACCACGCTGGCTCCGCATGGAAGCAGTTCAGGAAACCCCTCCTGGAGAGGAGAAAGGGGCCTGCGACCCCGGATCACTGCAACACAGAGGGAAATCACCTTCCTTTATCCTCATCTTGAGAGAAAAGGAAGGTTAGAACTCCTCACCACCAGGAGGGGGGAGCCTACTCCAGGGAAGTGTGAAGTGGGAATGCCTTTCCGTGTTGTGGGACGCTCTCCAAAGTTTACCTTACCTGCCTCAATACCGGTCCCTTCTTACCTAAGGACCTCTCCCACTTGTTCACCCATTTGCCCAGCAGCCAGTGTGGGAGGGAGTGGGCCTGGCCCCAACACCCCACACCCCACCAGGCACTGTACTCTGTCCATCCTCAGCATGTCTGGCCCCAGGCTGTCTCAGGAGTTAACCTTTTGTTTGTTTGTTTGTTTGTACGGGGGACACTGAAATACGCCCCCCCCCATCAACACAGCTGCTGAACTGCTGACCCCAGAGCTGGTCACATACACACTAATGCTCACACCAGGTAGTTTCCTTTCTCTTCCTCGCATAGCAGCAGTCTAACCTCAGAACACCTGATTACAGGCACCAGAGACCCCCAGATCAGGTGATGTGCTGGGGGTCAGGAACCCTTTAGGCCAGGAGGCTGAATCCCAGGGGCCTCTCTCTGGACCCATATGCCAGGCCACCCGGATTCTGGTTTCCCTGTCACCCAATCTGGCCAGCCCCCTCCATCTGGCCCCCGGAATCAGGTTTCTAAGGGCCCAGACCGGCTCAGAGACAGCCTGTAAGACTGGAAGGAGGAGCCAACAGTGGCCTCTGCCCTATCCCTCACAGGCCCTCTCAGGGCCTGAGCCCCTTCGTGGAGCTAGGGATGCACATTCCTCCGACTGCTTAAGTCCCCTTATCTGCCCCCTTGCCCATCAGCCTGAGTGCTGACAGAGGCCCAGGCCCCTTGTTTGGATGCTGATAACCTCCTGGGATAGCCCTCCCCCACCTGTAGGGACTGGGAATGGGGTTGGTGTTGGGAGGTCCTCTTTTAGCAAGGCAGTTGGGACCCAGGCCTGGCCCCGGGGTCCTAGGGATAGCAGGATCCCATATTTCCTCACCCTCCCCAGGCCCAGGGCCACCCTCAATGCTGCCACAGTGCCACCTGGTGGTCCCTAGGGGAATGCCACACCGGCAGGTAAAGAAGCCACACAAATGAGTTGCAAAAAAACTCCACATCACTTTATTTGAACCTTTATCCAAAAATGTAAAAAGTATTAAAAATGTGTAGTCCTGAGCTTCAGATGCTGATCTCCAATCCCACAGGCAAGGGGGAAGAGAGGGTGAGGACAGAAGTTCAGAGTTCCTCCCAATCCTGGAGAAAAGAGAAACTCAAGTAGGGCCTAAAGATTAGAAAACACCAGGGCTCTATGAGGGATAGGACCACCCTCTCTCCTAGCACCAGCCCAAGACCCCACCTCTCCACCCTCTTCAATGGAGAAGCCACATTTAAATTTCTTAAAACTTGTACAGGAAAATGGTGCATGGCACATGGGGCAGGCAGCTAGCCAACCTGAGGAGAGCCAACAAGGTGTAAGCATCTACGCCTTCACCTGATTGTCCTACCCCATCTCGGTCCTTGCTTAGCACCCTTCTCCCAACTCACCAAGAAGGCTAAGGCCTACCCCCCTGCTTCTTGGCAGGCAGGATGGAGCACAACTCAGCTTCTTCCTCCTCACTACCTTCTTCCTCACTCTCTTCTTCCTCAGAAACGTCATTGCTTATAGTAACTGGTGGAAACATAAGCAGTAAAGGAAGAGGAGGTTAAAGCCAGACCCTTTTCATACCACATATCATTTATTCATGCCCTGTGATGCTAGACTTGCAGGGACCCTGACCTCTTAGAGCTTATGATTTAGGTGGGAAGAACCTCAGATACTAAGATGACAGAAAGCCAAAGGAGACCACATTAATGGGCGTGAAGTTGGGACAGGTTTCATGCAGGAGGTAGGCTTGAGTAGGACAGAAAGTGGAGGGTATAGCCTGTATGGGAGCTGCACTGGGTGATAAGGCTGGGATGGGGCAGGACTGTGGAGCAGTGGGGGAGACCTAATGGGAATTCACCAGAGGCAAAGTAGAGGACACTCACCAATCTGGTGCCTCCCAGTGATCCGCACAGGGCCAGAACCTGATTTCAGGCGGAAGGTTACAGGTGGCTGAAGCTGGAAGTCATCCAAACTCAGCTGGAAGAAGACAAGGATGAAGGCCTGGCCTGCTCCATCTTGTGATGAGTCAGTTCTCCAGTCCTCAATTCCTCACCCTCACCCCCACCCCTATCCCCCACTTCACCACCCGGCCTGGCAGGGAAACTCACCATGGGTTGGCAGGACAACTTCAGATTGGCCACGGGGACTGCAATCTCTTGGTGGTCATGATTCCTGGCCACGACTTCTACCACATTACACTCATCTTTGGCCCCCTCGGTGAGGCAGAGCTGGGAAGAGTACACAGGGCCTCTGGGTCTCCTCAAACAAGGGCTGGCACCACAAGTGGAGGCCTCTACCCTAAAACTGGCCCCGCCCCAGTGGTCCCTGGATCACCTAACCAGGAAAGCGCCCATGTAGGGGCCAGGCAGAGAAAGTGACTCCCAGCTATTCACAACCATTCCCCGCCCCTCACCATGGTCAAAGCCAGCACATGCTCCGCATCGTCCTCTTCCTCTACCTTGAAGGTGAAAGAGCGGGTGTGGCCGGAGAGCTCACAGCCTGGAAGAGGTAACAGCGCGAGTGTGTCTGAGTGTGCGTGGGGGGGCGTTCCACCAAACCTCTGTCACGTGTAGTAGCCATGGTCAGACCGGCCATTTACGCTCCCACTTCTCGAGAACACCTGGGACGCTCGGCCCAGGGCCCACCCCTGCACGTTTGGAGCAGGGGGTCGCACCGCCCCCTTCAGCTTGCGCTGCCGCGTGCTGGGCCCCCTTCGTTCCCACCCACGTCGTGTATCCATTTGCATTCCTGTTCAGCCCTGCCCCTGACCGCCCCAGGACCACCTCCATCCCCTCCTTTCTTCAATACCGAAAAAAAAACTGTCCATGGTGACCGGAGCCGGGACCCGCAGACCGCCGATACCCCCGGCCCGGGCTCGGCTCTCCTGACTCAGGAACGCTAAAGCGGCGGCGGTGCCGGCGGCCATGCTGCAAGGGCCGTCTGGGAACTCCGCCCCCGACACGTACAAAGCGGGGGACTCGCCGCTGGTTCCGGCCCCGCCTATTAAAGGAACCGCGGGAGTTTGAGAGAGGGACCGAGGCGCAACCTGTCCAGGGTAGCCCGCCCGGCCTGTGGTCAAACTGTCGTTTGGTCCTACAGGGACAGGGAGGCACATCACAGAAGCATGGCTTTCTTTTTTTTAAATGTGAACACCCTTGTTTATTTCCGTGACCACGGCTCTCAGTGTGGCTCCTGCCTCCATTTTCTTCCTCTCACCCTCTGCTGTCTCTACTCCCCCAATCCAGGGTAAGCTTTCATTAAAGGGAGAATAGATAAAGTGGAAACCCTTCCCAACTCTCCTTGTCAATGCGAATTTCAGGGTAGGGTTGTTTTTTAAGATTTTTTAAAAATTTGACATTGATAGAGACAGCGAGAGAGGGAACACAAGCAGGGGGAGTAGAGAGGGAGAAGCACGCTTCCCGATGAGCGGGGTGCTCCATGCGAGTCCATGCAAGGTTCGATCCAGGTGACCTGAACCCAAGGCAGCGCTTTTCTTATAAAAGCAAAAGAATTATGCTTATTTGCCTTTGCTCCAAGAAAGCCCTTCGAGGATTCTTACTTTTCAACTCCGGGTGTTTTCTATTAGAACCAAGGAACCACTCGGTCCTCTTCCTTGTATGCTTCCTGCTCTAAGGACCTTAAGTTTACTGTCCAGAAGGCCTACCTTTATGGAGCTTCAGATGCTGCTTGGATGCTGGCGCTTGTTAGCAAAGCATGTCATTTCGGATTTGGGGATGCTCATCCTTGCAGACACATTGTGGAGTTTATTAATTCCAAATCAACCCAAAATATCCTTCCACCTTACACTCCTCAGTCACATAGTTTCGGGAGGGCAACTCCCCATCCCCTCCACCGCCCCCCACCATTCACCTTTTGACCAAAGAATCTGATGAACTGTTAAGGCAGCTAATTTGAATGAGTCCCTTATCCCACTAGAAGGAGGGAACTCATTCAAATTAGCTGCCTTAACTCACACCCAGGCTAACTGTGGGGAGGGTGGCTTGGCCAAGAGCTAGTCTACTTTTGTCTTTTACCTTGCCTTGAGGAAAATCTGGAAGTCTTTTCACTGAAGATGGGAATGGGAAAGTGCAGCCCCTAACTTGAAATAGCTGTGGAGAGTACTTCCTTGTAGGTAATGCATGAAAGGCAGGAGAAAAAGTACCAGGCAGACACAAGAAGTAGGTTTACACAGTACACCACCACACACATTCACTTCAAGTTTTATTTTGCCTCTTGCATGGTCTTCAGATAGTTTTACAGTTCGTTTTCTATAGGAACTGAGCTGTGATCTAAACAATCAACAAAATGTCATTCCAACCTTAATAAATATTCATAACCACAGAAGAGAGCATAGCACTTTACCATCCTAGAGTGATGAAAGTACAGGCCTGGACATCTGTTGCATAGTTAGCATCTATGACGAGAGGACCAGCCAAATGATTATTATAAGCCAAGAGAAAACCACAAGCAACCTTGCTAAAAATCCTGATTCCGTAAATTTACCCTGAAATCCTCCAGATAAATGCTACAATTGTCTACTAGCATACAAAATGTACTTAAAGAGACAACCAAGTGGCACTAAGCTGTTTTAAACAGTATCTTATAGAGATCTTCCCTTAACCCTTTAAAATGCAAACTTGGTTCCAGCTTTCCAACATCATACCCTTCTATCAATTAAAGGTTTCCACCCTGAAAATGAAGGTCTCCTTCTTCCTCCTCCCTTCATCTTACCATTCAGTGCACACTCACAGGCCCTGGTTCAAAGTCACTAGATACCACTAGGTATGATGCTTTAAGACTCAAAAGCCCACACTGATGAACTTCATGAAGGAAAATGTTTCAAGTTTCCTTCTCCTTGCCCCTCCCACCTCAGCTCAAAGTAAAACAGCTGGTAACAAAACTGCAGGGAAACAAGATAACAAAATCCTGTTCTGAATTCATGAAGTCAGCCAGCCATGATGAAAAAATGAATCCTGCAGAGATTACCTGCTAGCCTCATGCTCAGAACCCCTAAAAACACCAAACCTAAATTAAAATACATGGAACTTTCATAATCTGTGGTTAAAGAGGGAAAAAAGGGGTAGCCTCTAAGTCACTGGTTAAAGTGTGCTCATTTGTTTAAAAATTAGATAAAAACATGCAAGAATTAAAGACTCTGATTTAATAAAACCAGTTGTAACAGGTCTTGAAATTAAAGGACAACTGATCTCAGGGCAAATGGGACCAATCAGTCCCTGAACCCTACTTGACAGATGTCAAAACTAACATTTCACATGCTGACCTGCATCGAGGTTAATTTCCAGAAGTGACTGCACTTTGCAAAACATTGAGTCCCATGAAGTTAGGCTCGTACCCAAAGTGGTCATGGCCTAGCCCTAGGTGGGAGGCACTTCAAAAATAATACAACTTCTAAAAAAAAAAAAAAAACAAACCAAAACAAAGGGAAAAGTAAAAATCCGTCTTCCACTGATTTACATTATTCAAAGTGCCATCCTGAACCACACCCTTTCATTTTTCAAAAGGAAAAAAAATTACAAAAACAGTGAACACAAACGATAGTCAGGTTACAGCTAATTTATATACAAAAATTTACAAGTTTGCCATTTTTAAGCTTTTGCCACAAACAACTGCACATTTGTCCCTACAAAAGCACAACATGCCTGAACCAATGGTCACTACAAGAGACAATTGGTCATGGCTTTACAAAGAGCAGAAAAACCGCCCCAAATTAAAATCATTTATTCAGCTTAAAACTATGCCACAATCATCCCACTTGGAATCTCTACCTTGAAGCCTCTGAAACCTACGAACTCTTTCTCATTTCTGCCATGTCCCCAAAGAATGAGAGACATTTCATTCAATAAGCCAAAGAGGATGACAAATGATTTTGATTACTATCAGATGAGAAATGCAACCACACTGGATGCAGAACACAGTGCTGACTACCATTTATTGAAGACCCCCTCCCTATAAACCCATGTAAAGAGGTCTTGGCACCTAACACAAGACCCAAGAAGGAGGCCCACATCTGTTTCAAACAGGATTTGCATCAATACTATCTTCCAACCAGTGAGTAATCTCAAAGTGTGATAGGTGAGTTTTACACAGTCTTCGTTTCTAATCCCAATTGGCGGATTTGTTGCCATTCCAGAGGCTGAACTGTATGAAGACCCCAACCACCACCCACCAGGTTAAGTTAAGAGACTTTCGGACAGTTCAAAGTGCCAACAAGTATCACAGGCTTCGACCAAGTATAACCACATCCTTTGGAAATCCTTCCATTTTTGCAATTTCAAAACAGCCTAACTTGCTGTAAAATTCCAGAATTCTTTTATCATCTGGTCTCACTTCACAGAAAGCCCCCCGGGAGCCTAGAAATGAAACAAATATTTAAAACGTAAATGTCAGTTAGAATCATGGATAGGAATTGTGAAGAATCCTTAATATACTTCAAACAGATGATAACAGGACCTTGTCTACAACAGCCCCTAAATTTCATATAATTTTTAAATTCCTATTAATATTCAATGAATATTAATATTTATCAATACCAAATATTGCAGTGGCAACTATCCTAAGTGATGGATATGTTAAACTAGCTTGAATGTGGTGATTACTCATGATGTATTTCAAATCATCAAATTGTACACCTTAAATATATACAATTCTTGATTGTCAAAAATACCTCAATGTAAAAAAAATTCAACTGTCAGTGAAAGTCTTCCCCAGAAAGAAAATCTTCTGAGGAAAAGGCTGTAAGAAGCCTCAAATTAAAATAAATGGAGCAAAGCAAAGAATACCTCTGTTTAATGTTTTTAATATGAAGTACCTCTGAAGCGCCCATAGGGCAAAGGCCATTCCAGCCCATGTCACAAACTAATATAACCAGAATATGTTGTATATTCTAAGACATACCTCATATACCTGGCGTGATTCCGTTCCAAGAACAACACTGAGAATTATGCTGTCTTCAGAGAGAGTTGTTTAAATTATTCCACAAAGGGGACACCACTGACTTAAATGATAACAAAGATGCAAACAAGTGCATTCCCACTTATCAACAACCCTCTAAGAATTGGTCTCAAACAAGCTGCCCATTTTTGTACTGCAGAAGAACTAAAAATAGTTTTCTACACTTAACGTTTGAGTAAAAAAAAAAAAAAAAAGAAAAGAAAAAGAAAATGTAGGGGCACCTGGCTGGCTCACTAGGCAGAGCATGTGACTTGATCTTGGGGTCATGACTTCAAGTCCCATGTTGGGCACAGTGTACTTTAAAATAAATAAAAAATAAAGTCTAGACTATTTATTATCTAGTCCTTTACAGAAAAGTTTCATACCACTAATATAAATAAGTATATCCAAAGGTTGAAAATGGCAAACAAACTCAAGCTCTGCATTCCTAAATGTAGTTTCTTCCAAAGGTTCATTTAATTTTCAGTTATCATGGTGAGTCTCCTGGCAAAATAAAGTTAACCTCATGTGTTCACTTCTCATTTCAATGGAGCTCAAAATAAGCATTTGTAGTGTAAAAGAGTGGCATTTTCCAACTATTAATACACATACAATTCTTACACCACTAATAATTCAGAAGCCAAATCATAAATGATGGGGAGGGGAATGTAAATTCACTGTAATTTACTTTTTTTATCCTGTCCCCACTTAGCTCAAACACCAGCAACTACATGAATATGTACTCACCATTAGCCTTCAGTGAAGACAGGAGGCAAGCCATCATGCTTTTGGCTACGCTTGGGTCAGTTACTTTTTTGTGAATATCCATCTTTATCAGGGAAGGGAAGTTGGCAAGGAAAGTTTCTGGCAATACTTCCTGCTCTTCATGGAAACTCAACATTATTTTCTGTAAAAATTTGAAAGAGTCTCTTGACTTTTAGCAGCTACTCATTATATATCTATACCCCAACTACAGAACCCAGCAACAGGAAAAGGAGAGCCACATTCAGAAACTCTTCCAGTCATCATGTAATCATCACATGAAGAATTAATTAGCTTATAATTCTAGCATTTTCACTCTTAAAGTTTGTCTAAAGGTAATGTGGTGTCCTGGATTGGATTCTGAAACAAAAAAAGGACATTAGTGGAAAAACAGGTGAATAAAATGTGGCGTTTACAGTAATGAACTAACATTGGTTTCTTAAGACTTGGACAAATATAGAAAATGGGTGAGGGATATAGGAACTCTGTATTATCTCTGCTAAATCTAAAAGTAAAAATTTAAACAAAATTTAAGTTTGTGTTGTTTGGGCACCTGGGTGGCTCAGCTGGTTAAGCAACTGCGTTCAGCTCAGGTCATGATCCCGGAGTCCAGAGATCGA